TTATTCATTTCCCTTGGATAATAAACTATTCATTTTCTTTACTGGATGTCAATCTCCAAAATTCATAATCATAATATTATTTTTCAATCTAAAACACAAAACAATCTTTACAAAAAACATTAGAACACCTAATATACATTCCAATTACCGCTCACACTCACTCATAGAGTTGGATAACTACAACAATGTTGTTTTTGACTATAGGTTGAAGATGGAGTTTTTTCAGACAAATCTCACACACAACACATGATCACACTTGAGAATTCAACACAAGAAAAAAAATTCTTCAAGATTAATGAGAGAGAAGGTTTGTGTGATTGACAAAACACACTTGATTTTTCAAAGATTATGATAAGTTATGAACATTTTTTAGAGAGAAAGAAATTGATTTATAACTGTTCTAGAGATAAGACACAAAATAAGTGAAAAACTAACAATTTGATTAAGTTAAAAGTCAAAATGATGATTCGAATCAAGTGAGAGAGTGACTTGAATAAATATGATAAAATTAGAATTTTTCTTGTTTAATTTGAATCATGACTCAAGTCATGTAATTCGGACCAAGTCATTCCATGACTTGAATCACATATCTCGAAATAAATTCCAAAATTGAGAATTCATTCCAGATTCGAGATAAACAAAGTTATGTCTCGAGTCAAATTATCTTTAATTCGAGTCAAGCACAACTTTGAATCATATCAAGCCTCTTTGAGCCAAAATCCAGAATTTTGTCTTACTGATGATTCGAGTCAAGCAAAGTTGTGATTCGAATCAAACTTGTAATTCAAGCCAAAGAAGTTGATTTTAGTGAAATGCTAAATAATTTCAAACTAAAGAGAAATCAATGACAATAGTGAACTACACAAAATACAATAAAACAATAATATCTAAAACACAACAATACATCAAAAGAGATAAAATAACATTGTTACCGGTGGAACAATTTCAACATCTACTTCTTAAGATTTTATCGGAAGTTATCAAAGTAAATATGGACCCAAAAACTGTTTATAATGCTCCAATTAGAATTCCTGTAATTAAGAACCTAATCTTCTCACGTTTACCAAATTAAATCTAAAAACAAGTATAGATAAAGAAAAAAACAAGCAGCCAATCTTATAAGTTAAAATGTCAACATGAGTTTCTTATAGACAAATTGTTTAATAGTGCAAGTTTAATAATTATACAATGAGACATAGGTAAAAATGGTTTGAAAGTCATAGACAGAAAGCATTTCATAAGATTGACATGTTTTGTGAAGCAGAGGCAGAAATCCTTAATAACTGTTTTGGTATATGCTGCAAAACAAAACAGTCATGCCATATTAAATACACAAAACTTTTCTCATTCTTATTGTTACGTGTCTTTCAATTGTGTAATTCTTTTTAGTAATCTATGAGCAGTGACTTGTATTTTGGTTAGGTTACGATCTAAGATCTTGTATTGGATTATTTTGAATATGATATTTTAATGAATCTATTTGTTGTCATATTGCTTGTCAAATTGTATGGTGTAACCTCTTTATTGACTTCAAATTGTTGTTTGTTAATTTCTGGAAAATTATGTCAATGTTTTAGGCTATAGTAATGCCAAAATTGAAACAAACTATGTCAATGTTTTATGAGTGACTATGCCAAAATTTAGAAGTGATTATGCTAAAATTTAGGTAAATTGTGTCAAACGTGTAGCACAACTAAGGCAATATTTATGAAGTGATTATACCAAAATTTAATCAAATTGTGTCAAAAGTTTAGCAGAACTAAGGCACTTTTATGTCAATATTTAAGCAAAATTCTTTCAATTAAAACAATAACCTATCAAAATTATATAATCATCAAGTAAAATTCAACACAATTCTATTAGAAAACAGTGATTATATTGCTGAAACAACCTTACTTCAACAATTACATTTCATTATTAGGTACGCATTAATCATAAGAGAAACTACAAAACAGAAAAAACTTGATTTTTTAAGTCCATGCCTTTGATCTCAATTTTACTTACAGCTTCATGTTCTTCTTCTTGGAACCTTCATACAACTCCCTCAACAGTTCAACTGTCTCCAATTCCTTCAACGTGTTGACATCTACTTGTTTAACACTATTACCATTTTATTCAACCAAATCTTGATCTCATATGAATAAAACACAAGTTTCTTCTATAATGCCTCATGCCGTCTTCAGGATTATCGATTGACCCCACAAACCAACACGTGTCTTTTCAACGTGTTTTATCCTCGCTCACACGCTTTTCGAGAAACTTCCCAGAAGGTTACCCATTCCATAGTTGTTCAAAGTCAAGCACGCTTAACTGTAGTGTTCTTATGAATGGGCTACCGAAAAGAAGATGCATCTTGTTGGTATAGGTAGTACCAAATAATCCTTATAAGTCTTCCTTCAATCATGCAGTCTCATACCTGCATAGCCTCGAGATCCCTCTCATTTCGATGTGGCGACCACATTTGCCCTCTTAGACCTTAGGTGTTACATGCGGTGCAACCACTCCTCGCCATTTTCGGCCTCGAGTGTTACATGTCCACCAGCTTCCGCATGGTTCGTCCTCGAACCACATCGTACTGGGAGAGGTATGACTCTGATACCAATTGTAACGTCCCCGATTGCCTTCGGGATTACCGACTGACCTCACAAACCAACACGGGTCTTTTCAACGTGCTTTATCCTCACTCACACGCTTTCTAAGAAACTTCCCAAAAGGTCACCCATCCCAATACTACTCCAAGTCAAGCACACTTAACTGTGAAGTTCTTATGGAACGAGCTACCGAAAAGAAGATGCATCTTCTTTTCGGTAGCTCATTCATAAAAACTCCACAGTTAAGCGTGCTTGACTTGGAGCAATTCTGGGATGAGTGACCTTCTGGGAAGTTTCTCGGAAAGCGTGTGAGTGAGGATAAATCACGCTGAAAAGACCCGTGTTGGTTTGTGGGGTCATTCGATAATCCTGAAGGTAGCCTGGGACATTACAAATGATATCAGAGTCATACCTCTCCCAGTACGATGTGGTTCGAGGACGAACCATGCGGAAGCTGGTGGACATGTAACACTCGAGGTCGAAAAGGGCGAGGTGTGGTTGCACCACATGTAACACCTGAGGTCTAAGAGGGTAAAAGTGGTCGCCACATTGAAATGAGAGGGATCCTGAGGCTATGCAGGTATGAGACTGTATGGTTGAAGGAAGGCTTATAAGGATTAATTGGTACTACCTATACCAACAAGATGCATCTTCTTTTTGGTAGCTCATTCATAAGAACTCCACAGTTAAGCGTGTTTGACTTGGAGCAGTTCTGGGATGGGTGACCTTCTGGGAAGTTTCCCAGAAAGCGTGTGAGTGGGGATAAAACACGCTGAAAAGATCCGTGTTGGTTTGTGAAGGCAGTTTAGGGCGTTACATCTTCCCTCTGCCGAAATGGACATCTCCAAAAGAGTTTTCCTTTTTTGCGACCATTCTTGCAGACGTATGAAACCATACGAGCTTCACAACCACAATTCCTTCCTCGACGGTATCTCACAGAAGACGAAGACACGCTGAAAAGATCCGTGTTGGTTTGTGAAGGCAGTTTAGGGCGTTACATCTTCCCTCTGCCGAAATGGACATCTCCAAAAGAGTTTGCCTTTTTTGCGACCATTCTTGCAGACGTATGAAACCATACGAGCTTCACAACCACAATTCCTTCCTCGACGGTATCTCACAGAAGACGAAGACATGCTCATGAGTTTCCTGGCACTTGTTCTGGGATACAACATCAACCTTTCTTTAATGATGATGAATTAGGTTTGCGAGTAAGGAAGCTTTGACAGCGACTGAATCTAGAAGAAAGAGATGAGAAATTAGGTCACAAAGAGGACGAAGACAAACGACGTCTGGTTATAAAAAATTGTATTTAATAATTACTTGCAAACTATTTTTACACGTGAAATTAGAAATTCTCCAATTATTTAAAAAGAAATTTTGCCAAGTAAGCGTCCACGTAGGCTTCCCTTAAGTGGAATAGACAGGAGGAACGAAAAATAGGGACGAAAGACTTTATGAGAACCATTCTTCGAACGAAAATGTTATATGGACTAAAACTAGATTTTAGAATATTTATAGAAATTTGTAACATATTTAACCCTTGAAATAATATTGTTTAAATAGCTTAAAATGCATTCAGTGGAGTTTTCGGATATGCATCTCCAAATACATCACATAATATTCAAAATATACACGTTTAAATAACTACAAATGCACTCCTGGATATTTTTAAAGATGCATCTCCGATCACACCCCATAAAATTTTTACAGATGCATCTCCGGATCAGTTTTGACAAAATAAGATGGTTGCTTGATTTATAAAGAATGGAATAATTTAAGGTATATCCAAATATATATCTTCGAAAATATCTAAGTGTAATTTCAGATTTTTAGATGTGTGAGCAAAATCCTAAGGATGGTAAAAGAAATTTTCAGATTTTTTTAAGAATAAGCGAAAAGAAACAGAAAGGAAACAAAACAGATTCGGGCCAGGTTAAAAACATTTCACATGGAAGAAATAGAAAGAAAAATATGTACTGGAAAATTTTGCATGGAAGAGAAGATAGGATTTGAGTAAAAAATATTAAGTTGTTAAGTCTAAATAGGAAATCAACATTTATCATTAATCAAAATTGAACCATTTTTATTTGTTTTCTTTTTTAATTTTCAAAAATCAAAAATCAAAACTTATATCCATGGTAAATATATTTTAATCCAAACAATTCATATCATAAATTTAAAAATATTACAACAGAATACAAAAGTTCCTTCATCTGAGGAAGAACCAAAAATAAGTGTTATCTATCAATGTTACAACTACTACATAAGATTTATAGTGGACCCTAAAAACTGTTTCTAAAGCTCTAATATGAATTCCTGTAATTAAGAACCTAATTTTCTCACAAACACCAAATTAAAACTAAAAACAAATATAGATGATGAAAAAAGCAGCAGCCAGAAACTAAAATCTTACAAGGGAGATGAAGCTCCTTTGGAGGAGTGATGCATGCTGGCGAAACTCAAGCATAAGTGGCGGTCTCTGTCGTCCCCCCATCCTCCCCAACCTTTAAACCCGGCTTTATAGCCCGGCTGATTTTCGAAGACATGGACATTCCAATCTGAACCTATGTTAGCAACCTTGTCGGGCTGTTCTACACGGATATTCGCCATGCCGTTATCAATACAAGCCGTATTCTCTCCTTGACCCTGATGCAGACCGCATTTCCCAAAATGAACGGCACTAGTCCTTGGGCCTCGTAACGTGTACACAGGACTACCAAACGAGGGATAAACTGTCGCCCACATAGTGATATCCCAATTATAATCATCGAAGAAACAAAACTCACTAGCTTTGTTGTGTATTTTCTTCCAAACTGTTCGATTGAACGAGTAACCTACGTTTCCCATTCTCTCTGCGATCAAAGTTTCCCAGTCTTCGCCTCTTGAGTTCACATCAGAAGGTGCTAAATTTGCAGCATAACAATCAGGACATTTCACAGGCTTCAACGAAGTTAATATCTGAAGATTGCGATAGGCGTTGGGAAATATGAAGTGGTCTTCTTCAATAAACAGAATATGACCTGAATGCAGTCTAGTTTCGTTCAATCCATCCCATACCGTGTTCATCATCCACCACCAATGATGCTTCAATGATACAATCTTCGGCGACCTGTGGTTTCCATACTGATCAGGATTCCCCTTACAATGCTTCCCTTCCGCGTCATCCTTGTCCTTACAATCACCAACCGACACACCTGGAAAACTACTCGGAAACAAATGAGGCGAATATGGAGCATATATCTGTTTCACTTGGCAAAACCTTATACCACTAACAATCTCATTCATTTCCTCAAAGTAACCATCATGACTTACAATAAGCAAAGTCTCATTAATCCCTACAACCTTAGAAAGACTCTCGACAACTACTCGGAGATACTGCGGCCGGTTATGAACATACAAAACAACAATGATAGCATCCTTAGCAAGATTCGGATACAAATCCAAGTTCCTTGGAGGCAACAAATTCAACTTCCCCAATTTGAGTGACAAATCACTCTGTTGTGGAAGAGTTTGCATCTTCGTAAACTTCAAATCGCGACGGTATCTCGAACCATCATCAACAATTTCTAAATCCTTAGTCTCATTGTTCAACGTTGAATTTGATCCAAGTAGAAATATCAATATCAAAACCACACATAAGGTAACAAACACCACAGATAACAAACGTCGTAAAGCTAAATCTCTAAGACGAGGTTTCTTATAAGATGCCATAATAATATACACACAGAATAAAAAAGATTCTAAATTTATTTACAAATATATCAAATCTATGAATATGATGATGAACCCACTTGTAATTGGGTTCAAGGGTTGAAGAACAAAACAAAAACCCAGATGTAATTGAACCTAAAAATCAAAACTTTACACTTACCCTTCAAGATTGAAGCAAAATCAGATGAAGAAATCAAGTTTGTGATACCAAAAGCTTACACCCAAGTGCTTTTTTCATCAAAAATGGATTATAGTACAAAAGGGTAAGAACAATAATTTGAGATGAACAAGAGGATCAGAAGAGAGTTGAAGAGTGAAAAAGGGTTTTGATTGAATCAAACGTACAAAACACGATAAACAGGTTTGAACTGTCAACGCTGCTGCCTATTTTCGGTTTGATGTTTCAGGATCCGAAAAGTGATTAGAGACTAATCACTAATTAATTTTGTTATTAATTAAACATAAAAAACTTAAATGAAGAATTATGGAATCAATAGGAACATTTTTCAAATTAAAAGAACAAAAATGTATTTTGACATTAAAATACATGATCAAAAGAGTATTTTGTTAACTTTATTTATTTAATTAATAGTTAACCATATACTATGAATATGTAATGGAATAATTAGCTATTTGGTTAAGTTATGTTTAAAGAAAATATATGTTTTTATGTAAATTGAGATGCAATTAGGAAATTTAATAAATCAAGTTAAAGAAAATTAGGACTTAATATATATATATATATATATATATATATATATATATATATATTTGAAAGTGATAATATTTGTAGGTAATGGTGGAAATAACAAGAACCAGCTAGATTGCGTCAGGTCTAATTTTGGACTTATATGAAATAAATATTATTAAGTCTAACATATTATCCATAGATATATTTTTAGATTTAGAATTATTTTTTAAATAATTAAAATTTTCAATTTTAATATCTAGTTAACTAACATTTTCTTATAATTTATAATCTAACTATGTTTTAAATTTTAAAAAAAATAGATTAAAGGGGAAGTGTCATTTGAATTGATGTCTTCTATATTTTTTTTTCAGTTACCTGCGAATTTGATTTATTTGCGAATTTTCTTGTAGATATTTCTATGGATTTACCTACAAATTAAATCGCACAGAAAAATCTGCAGATAACGTCAAATTTGCAGGTAAGTCCACAAATAATTGAAAAAAGTAAATAAAAAATATAGGAGGTGTCAATTCAAGTGGCGCCTCCTTTTTAATATATTTTTTTGTTTGAAACATGGTTATATTAAAAATTATAGGGAAAGGTTGGTAAGTTGGGTATTAAAATTGAAAATTTTGGTTATTTGATAAAAAAATTCATGAATTTAGATCTAAATTTTTTAAAAATATGTTATAATATGATTTTTTATAAATATGTATTTTATATTAATATTTTTATGAATTATATTAATGTCTTTAAATAAATAAATTAAAAATATTTAAATTAACTGATAAATTAATATTGAATTTTATTTTAATATTTAACGTCGTATTTAAAGAACATGTTTTATATGACAATAAATTTTAATTATATTTTATAATAATATATTTAAATATGTCAAAAATTTATATAATTAAATTAATGAGAGAGAGGAATTTTTAGAAATATATTAAAATATTGAATATAAAACAAAAAATATAATATAAAGTAATTATTAAATAAGTATTTATATTTATTTAAGTAGACTTTTTAAGCTAAATAGATTTTTGATTTTATTACAACTTTTTCCCTTTATTTTACATCATTCACGAAATTAATCTCCTATTTTAAATTTAAACGATTTTGATTCACTCTTTATATATAAATCATACAAATTCAAAGAATTTTAAATTCAAAGAATGTTTCTCAATTTCACTTAGATATCTCCAAAGATTTTCCAAATTCCTTTGCATATCTAAGATTACAACTAAAATTTTCAAACTCTTCTCTCAGTCTTCAACTTTAAAATTCTAAAAGTTGTAAAAATAAAAATAAAAGAGATATATATTTTAATTTCTCAAACTTAAATGACAGTTGAAAACACGAAAGGAATAACAAATGCTAAACTTAGAACAAAACACAAATTTGCAAGCGATAAACTAGTCAAATAAAACTGAAATCCACCTGAAAAAAGAAAACTTTAAATTTTATTATAGTGAAAGATAGTCTTAATTGTCACATCAAATGTCTTTAAGTACAGAAGGAAACAAAACATAAAAGGCCTTGTGTGCCTTTAATTCAAAACAGAAATAAATAAATAAAATAAAATTTGAAAACAATAAAATGTTTAATTTGGGTCATTCTTTATCTAGAAAGGCATAATAATAGTTATTATGACATTGGATGTTAAACTTGTACTATTCTTGTAGAATCTTTCTGACGCACAACTTCCTCTTTGATACGCGCAACCAGTCTTCCTACATCAGTCTCCTCCATCTATGAAGAACTCGACTCTGAATTCTCTTCTTGATAAAGAACCTCGTCTTCATGAATGTCAGCAATATTGAAAGTATTGGATATATTCATTAACTCTATGGGGGCTGCCACATAAGTATTATCATTGATCTTACATGTCACTTTGAACGAGCCATATTTGCGTGGCTGCAACTTACTGTAAGTACCAATCGGGAACCTATCTTTGCGCAGAAACACCATCATATTGTCTCTTACGTTAAAAACTTTAATTTTCACGCGTTTGTCAATAGTTGCTGTATTCTTCTGCCCAGTAACCTCTAACTTAGCATTGATAACTTCTTTAACATCTGTCATTTCCTCAGCCATATTCTCAACAGCTGACTAAATCCATGCATCTTAGGCAACTTAACCAAATAAACCACATGCTTAGGAACATAAGTATAAACCAGAGAGAACGGTAATTTTCATGTAGTTGAATACAGAGCGTTGTTATAAGCAAATTCGACCTGGGGAAAAACTAAATTCCACTATTTCAGCTTGTCACCACAAACACTATAAAGCATATTCACCAAAGTTTTGTTGGTTACCTCTATTTTCCCGTCTATTTGAGGATGAGTTGTAGAACTCTTGTTCAAAGTTATTCTAAACAATCTCCAAAGAGTAATCGAGAAATGATCTTCGAATTTGTTCTCTTTGAAGGCTCTGAACTCTAATTCGAATTGCACTAGCTTCGATGTCATGACTCCTCCGATTGAGCCACCCTATGCTTCGATTGCTTGATTTGAAGAGAATCACCCTGGTTGAATCAGCTCTTGTGGAGTTAGGAACAAATAAGGCAAGAATCTGACCTTTAACTCAGGAATTGAATCCACGATCAACATTGAATTCTTGCCATATTTGCAAGGAAAACATGCCATTTTGAACTTTGGGTGAACCTGGACAGGTTAGGATAGGTGTTTTGTTCGAATTTGGCTTAAGGCTTTCATCATGGTTCCTTCGATTAAGTATCAAGTTTTGCTCTCTTCGATGGCTTTGAACTTGGTCCAATCGAAGCGTTATATTATTGACTAATCGAAGTGTTGTTCTACACTCCTTGATGACTCTAAGTCCTGATTCAAATTTCCCAGAACTTCCCTCATCAGAATATTTGTTTTCCTTCGAAGGCTCTGAATTTGAATTGCACCAACTTCATTATCGCAGATCCTTTGATTAAATCTTAAGCCTTGCTCCCTTCGATGGCTCTGCATCTTGATTCGAATTGCTCATATTCTCAGCATCAGAGCTTCTACGTTTGAACTATAGTCTGCAGAAAGGCTCAGAGTTATCCTCTCCAATCTGCATGAATTCGAATGCCCATCATCAGAGCTTCTAGAACCCTCTTTGTTCTTGCTCTTTTTGATCTCATTAGAATATCGCCCTATTGATATGCCAATTAAAACATTACTTGGTTAACATGCCTGTCGAAAGGCACTTTGTACGCTATAATGAAAAATAACCTTATTTAAGATGCCCGTCGAAGCTGCCTTGTTGGAAATGCCCATCGAAAGGCCCTATACCAATCGAAGGACCTTTTGCATATTCCAATCAAATGACCTTTTGCATATGCCAATCGAAGGATACCTAACCATCATTTTAAAAATTTCCTTTTCTTTAGGAAAAGGTTTGTAACCACCTATGCAAGAGGAAATCTTGGAAAAACATGAGAAGGAAAATTTTGGGGTACAACAGGTAGCCTTATCGTTTGGATGTTGAGGGACTATCGAAGGGACGTTTACGGTCACTAAGGAAACTGGGCAAGAACTTTTAGTAATTGTCCTAAAGTTCTAAGATCACTTTTTAACCGAGGCGGCACCAAAAGGGTCATCGAGAGACTTATGATCTCTTGAACCAAAGGACATCCACTAAAGATTCTCACGTTTCGAGAATTGTGATCGTTTTCAAAGGAAACCGAAGTGGGAGATACCATAGGGGTGAGCATGTGCAAGTGTATTGATTCATTTCATTTATCTTGCACATTTAGGGTTATCTAATCATTTTCTTTTAGAATCTTTCCATACAATCCTACTAATCTAAGCAATTAATAGTGCAGAAAGTAAAAACAAGAAAATAAAGTCCTATGCTATTACAGGGCCTCGGAGAGGGGGATACATAATCAAAACTTGGGGATAAAGACAGTAAATAAGCCCTAGTTTAAACTATTATAAACCATTATCAGTTACAATAAATTGAAAAATAATAAAACGAAAAATAATAAACGCGTGAAGATTAAAATGGGAACAAGTTTTAAAAACCTAAAGAATCTAATTAATTTAGAAGAAAAAAGTTTTTGGTATTTTATTGAAAAAAATATTTGAAGTTTAACCTAATTCTATTTAATTTTAGTTTAAAGAAAAACAGGTTAAAGTAATTAAATTAAATTAATTTACAAAAATTAATTTTAATTGGAAAAAAACCTAAATCTATTTTTTTGTGATTTTTTTATTGATTTTATGATTAAAATAAAAAAATGATTTTAAAACAATTAAAATAAAAATAAAGAAATTGAAAACAAAAAATAAGAGAATGGGCCTGATGGTGT